TAAAACAATAAAATTAAATATAAACAGATGTATACTGTTACAAGCCTTAGGCTATTTAGGATAAACAAATGTAAGCTCCTATTTACTATTTGCAGTTGTTTTAGAAAAAAGATGGTAATTTATATTTATTTCGTACATGTTGTGGTTAAATAGTTGGTCAAGTTGAACGAGTCTCTATAACGTTAGAGTAAAGAAGATAACAGATAAAATACAATGTTTTTTGCTGAAAAAACGTTTGATGTTTATAGGTTACATCAATGAAAGTTGAAAATTTTCAGATAAAGAAAAGTATTTTTAATATAAACATAAATCATTTTGCACTTGGAGCAATCAATACTGATTTAATATATTCACAGACAAATCTTTAGTAAAAAATCTGAGTTTTTGTTTACAAAAGACTTGTAATGTTTACTGAAAGTTTGTCATATTTTATGAAGATAAGCGTACTGTATTAAAAGTTATTGTATGGAAACTGTAATGATTCCTTTGTGGTTATGATGTCAGTCAAATCTACCAAGCCCATGTTGAAAGTGTTAATTTACTGTATCATCAGACATCTTGTACCAATGAAAATCTGGTTCTTTGAAGAAGAAAAAATAATTCAACTCAAATAAAACTGTTTTTATATGTGTATTCTTCAGTAACCAGTTGTCATTTTTTGTAAAGGCTGTAGCTTATCGTCAGATGTCACTACTGTTGAGACGTCCTCCTGGCCGAGAGGCTTACCCTGGTGATGTGTTTTACTTACATTCTCGATTACTGGAGAGAGCTGCTAAGATGAATGACCACTTTGGTGGAGGATCCCTTACAGCTCTTCCTGTTATTGAAACTCAGGCTGGTGACGTGTCTGCCTACATCCCAACTAATGTGATATCCATCACTGATGGGCAGATTTTCTTGGAAACTGAGCTTTTCTACAAAGGAATCCGGCCTGCCATCAATGTAGGTCTATCTGTGAGTCGAGTAGGCTCTGCTGCTCAGACCAAAGCTATGAAGCAGGTGAGACTCTTGTAGATAATAAATTTATTTCTCTTGTAATTTTACTTAACTGATATTTTATAAATATAATATTGATTAGTTTGACATTCTTAGGCTTGGTTATAACTTGCTTATTTTAATTCATATATAATGTAAAGCTTTTAACAGTGTTACTTTTTGCCACCAGGTGGCAGGCTCCATGAAGCTGGAACTGGCCCAGTATCGTGAAGTTGCAGCCTTTGCTCAGTTTGGTTCGGACCTTGACGCATCTACACAGCAACTTCTAAATCGTGGTGTTCGACTCACTGAACTTTTGAAACAAGGACAGTATGGTAAGTTGTTTGTAAATAAAGAAAATGTTAAATTTTCAGCAATTGATTTTTTTCCCACCTATATACGATCTGAGTATTTCACCAATTACACACTTGTGCTATAGATATTGGCAAGCCAGAATGTAAGTTTCTTGCTTTAATGAGTTGTTAAAACAACAAAACCTAAATGTTGTGTTCCTCCGGTCTCTTCGTGTTTTTCAGAAAATTTCAGTAATTCTACCGACATTTGTTATTAAATTATTCATAACCAATAGAGAGAGTAAATTGTTCTTTACAAGATTTGTTAGGAGGCTAGTTTGTTTGTTTGTTAATAATTAGATATTTGGCCTCAGTTTCACATTTTTTTGCAAGTGAAAGCCAGTTAATTTATAGTTGCTTTAGGATATTCTTTTGCCTTTTATATTTGTGTTCTCAAATGTATATTTACAAGCTCCAAGAATTTTCATTGAAAATTTTAAATGAAAAAAATGAGCCCTAGTTTAGTTACGATTTGCACTTGCAAAAATCACGCAGGTCGTGTATTTAGCTTGTGACGTTTATGATCCACGGATAATTACCTCCCACTGTGTTTGTTTTGACAAGAAGATTTATGCTCAAATAGTTATTAAATACAGTAATGAAACTGTAAAATTACAGAAAATAAATGTAAAAAAGGTTAACGGTTGAAACTTTGAAGATAAGTACTACATTAAACGAGAAATTATGCACATTGATCGCGATTGATGATTTCATTGTAAGTAGCATTAGGTCAGACAAAAAAAAATCGTGATATTGATTTATTAAGTACTAGAGGTTATGTAAATGAAGTATGAAAACTGTAACATGCAAATTAAATGCACTCTCACTAGTCAGACTGAGTCAGAAAATTCGAAGACAAACCTAGCAAAAATACTTTATATAAATATCCTGATTTTTGGAGTACAACAGACTTCACTTGCAGCTTGCCAAATTTCATAGAGATACGCACTAAATTCAGAATCATAGAAAACATTAATTCTCCAATTCCTGTGCACACAGGAATAAGTGATCTTACTTCTAGTAGTCAATCATATCTAGTCTCTGATATGTAACATTCTTTAATTGCTCCACTATTCTATTTTAAAGACAGTAAATATACACATGCCTGCTTCACCCATACCACCACATAGTAAACTATATTTTTTAAGTATTGTACAGCCTTGAATAGAAGGTCACTTCTTTTCAATCCTAGATCCTATGGCCATTGAGGAACAAGTAACTGTTATCTACACTGGGGTCAGAGGTTATCTGGACAAGCTGGACCCTTCTTCCATTAATAAGTTTGAAAAGGAGTTCTTGCAGCATATCCGTAGTACTCAAAAGGAACTACTTCACATAATAGCCACAGAGGGACAGATTAGTAATGAGACTGATATTAAACTGAAAAAACTTGTTTCAGAGTTTGTGGAAACTTTCCAGCCGTAGAGAAAGTTATAGTGAATAATTAGAAAGTAGCTTCTTTATTCGCAGAAATCTTAATTTAAGTCAGATATATAGAGGGATCAATCCATCTTAAATTTGATTGTTATAGTTGTAATCACCTTCTGTTGTTGTTTATTGATTTAAATAATTGAAATATACAAGTTGAAGAATAAACCCAAAGTTTTATGACATTTTGAACTGATGTATTGATAAACATTTACATTCATACACGTATATAGAAAATTAAGCTTTGTATGGACAGAACTTTGAATTTATAATTCTAATTCCAGATTTAAATGAGTGAATAGCTTCCTATAATAAACCATAATTTTTACTACACTTGTTTACGTGTACATTAAATATTTTTTATTAAAACTCTCTCTCCAAAAGATTTTCATCTCGGGGATATAGAATGATGAAAATGCAATATTTTGGGTAACAGATAATACAGTGTTATGAACTGGAAAACCTGTATTTTCTGTTATTCTTTTTTTAAGTATTGTATGCAGAAGATATTAATTATTCAAATAAAAGTATGTAAGTGGGTGAAATGAGATTACCAAATAAAACTATATAAAACTGGTCACCATTCGACCTAGAGTTAACTTAGCTGCAGTCAATGGGGTTAACATATGAAAGGCACTGAAAGTAGGAGAATTTATAATTATTAAATAGGAGTACTTAAGATATTTTTCTAAAATTATTTTAGTTCAACTGTTGGTGCCATTTTCAATACATGAATTAAGATCCACAATTCAAATAATGAAAACTGTAACAACTATACATTTTCAAAACTATCACTTTATTCACAAATACAAAAGTCACTTTGACACACAACAATATACATAACACTGTGCTCGAGATTAATTTTTCACAAGTTGGAATATTAAGCATGTGAAAGTAACCTGATTTCACAAGTCTACAAGATATTTTTACAATTCTGAATTTTTGTCAAATTAAGCTCCAACAGTATTTTAATTAGCAGAGAGAAAACTCAAATTCATTATTAGTAGTCTATCACTCACATTATCAATGACCAGTTTGTGTTGCATGTTACACTAAAATAATAATTATTTTTAGATTAAAACAGTGGAGTTTGATATGTATTGTTTGTGCTGTGTAGAAGTTAATTATGATAGAACTAATAATGAGTTGGCAAACAATAATTTATAAGTATAATGAAGTGATTTATTTTGGGGGAACATGCAACATGTTTCAACAGAACATTGGTCTAAAGAAGACCCAGTGTTCTGTCGAAAAAAAGTAGTAGGTTCCCCCAAAATAAATCATTACATTATACTTTTAAATCATTGTTTTCCAAGTCATTATTATATTATAATGTTTCCTTGCTCGGGTACAATAGAACTGTTATTCTGGCTTTTTATGTATTTTGTGAAAAACTGTAAACTTAACACTCTGAAAAACCCTAGAATGGTGCTTTCTTTGGGTACTTGCTTTTTGTTAACAAATACAATAGTAATTTAGTAGTAAAAAAAATTCACTAGTACCTGGGTATTACAGCAATTTTTAATTCACTTTTCATCCCCGTATTGTAATCAAATGGTTGTTATCTGTATGTGCACTATTATTGGTAGTTAGGAAACCGAACCTCACAATGGTACAGATTGGTTTGTCTGAGTTACTATTATTAATGAAATTTAAGTTTTTGTAACTTACTAACAAGGTACTTGTTTACTAGTATAAAAATAAGTAAATCAAGCTCAGACTGAGGCAATCTCACCACAAAATTTCATCTTTAGAACCTGCACTTTTATTTCAGACTGTACATTAGTGAGTGAATAAAAGATAGGTATTACAGAGCTATTCATAAAAGTGTTGAGTAAATAACTTCCTTTAGGTAATTCATGATATCTTGAGAACTTAATGCAGGGAAAAGTATAATTGTAAAGAAAAAGTGAGATTCCTTGATGAACGTATGTGTAAAATCATTACACATTAACAGCTATAAAAAGAAAACTAGTTTTAAATGGATGACATCAAACAACATTCAAAATATAAAAAAAAAGATCTCTAAGCAACAAGTAAATGGGACATTTCCATACGAGCCTTCGTCAATTCTTGGCGTAGACACGTTTATCATAAAATAAGAATTTCTTAATGTTTTGAATAGGTATCTGAACCTACTAGGGTTAAGATGTAATGAGCACTGGCCTGAAAGAAAGCTTATTTGCAAACAGTTTACACAGTCATTCGGTGTTTGTACATAAACTAATTAACTACAGTTACTGAGTAACAAAACCCAAGAGTCCTGTCATTAATTGTTTGTTTGTTTTAACTATGCACAAAGCTACACAAGGGCTATCTGTGCTCTGCCCACCACGGGTATTGAAACCCGGTTTCTTGCGTTGTAAGTCCGCAGACATACCGCTGTGCCACTGGGGGGGGCCTTGTCATTAATAAAACCTTTTTATGTTCATAAATAAACTCTGGTGTTTTAATATATCCTGCTTCTCTGCATATATTGTATACAGTGTAATTATGATTATAAAGCATAACCTGAAACAAATTACAAAGATTTTGCTCAAGAGTCCATAATGAGTTTATTCTGAAAGTGTATGTGACAGACACTACATTTAGTTAAGACACCTCATAAACAAAACATGTGATGCAAAGAAATGTCTAATTATAGAAAACTTGTAAATGTATACATTCACACATAAATTATTATTAAATCATGAAGTATCTAACCTAGGATGGCGAGACAGATTGTATGTATACTATTGTCATTAACATTAAATTTTGTCTCTCTGTAATAAACCTCTAATTTTGATAAAGAAAGCTAGTTATATGTTCCAGCCAATAAACTTTTAGCAAGATGTTTAGTAAAAAAGAACAACAGGTACATGAATCTCTGTTTTGTGTAAATACTTGACACTGCAGAGATCAAACTTCTTCTACCTGTTCATTCAATTAGACTTGAACTAATGGTTACCAGATCAAGTTGTCAGTATACGTATAGCACGATAAATAGCTTTTCAGAGTTTATTTACTAACTACAGCCATCCTAAATGTGGATAAAATTTACAATAGAACATACATTTGAAAGTTTATGATATCCCAAAGGTCTAATACAAATTTAGGCAAAACTGTACACTACTAAAAAGCTCAGACATAAATGAAGTGAATTTCTTACAGAGGGGCAGTTTCCTTGTGTATAAACTGTCACTACAGCACATTACTGACGTACACAGAGTCCAATGACTAAAACATCACACACACATCTAAATTATGTAGCTGGGCTGAAACCAAGTTCTTTCTTTTTTCTAAATTTTTGAACGTATACTTAATTTCACAGCTTTTGAGGAATCGTAATTCTTATTTCTTTAAAATAAATGTACATTTAGCAACACTTATATAATAATGATGACACTTCAAATCACAAAAGGTTAAAATAAATTGGTTATTTTACAATTAAACCATACAGAATCCAATCTGAGTACATTAAAAAAGTGTGGGACCTGAAACTATCTAGCTAGCCCAATGACTTCAAATTCCATTGATCTTATAGCTTCAAGGTTTAGTATCTACTGTTCCTGACAAGTACTTTACTAGATTTCTCTTCTACTTGCCTGTGCAAACTCGATCTTTCTAAATGGCATAACAGTTGAAAATCTTTTCAGCCTCTTCAAGTTGTAGTCCTTGTTCCCGAGACATTGCCTTTATGATTGCCTACAGTTATGAAAGTAAAGGTATATTGCATAACAGATGTACTGAAAAAACAACAAGAACAGAATTTTACTTTGCTGTTGTCGACATACATTCATAAAATAGTACTTCAATAAAAGTTCGATTGCGAGTCTACAAACGAGATGACGTGGCCTTTGACCCATGACCATAAGAAGACTCGTAGACATAGGGTTAAGAAGCTAAAGTAGGAAAAACATTATAAACACGTACACTCCTGGTTCATGGAGTGTAAAAGGTTTGAAATAATCATTCTAAATTACTGTTAATTGGTTGTCTTAGTAAATCTTTAATTCCTATACTGACACAATTAGTTTTTACACAGGAAAATGTAACTTTTATAAAGTAAGACACAATATGGTCATGTATGAAATTACTTTTAAGTAAAAAACAAACATCATCCTGCAATATTTAATTTTTTTTTAAATCATGAATGTGTTGTTCTTTGTGAAATCATACCTATTTCTAGAATCACAAAGCAATATAAACTTAAAATACTATACATTACCTCTGGTACCCAAACTTCAAAAATGTATGCCACAACATCAAGTGACGGATCATGTTCACAGCTGGTTTTAAAAAGTCGTAGGCAATATTCATACACTTCTTCTTGCTGAGAGACAAAAGTATTGATTTATAACTTTCCTATAAAAACTTGTTCTTATATCCTTGTAAGAAAACTTCCAAACAAGTCATTTAGATAATAAATCCTGAATAGCTAGACATGAAAGGTTTTTATACTGATAAGCCAGTTTACTATAATCAGATCCTTAAAAGAAAGAACCATCAGTGTTCACAAGTAACACACTGTTTATCTCCTCCTGATGTTCCAGCCATGGTGTGTTCACAAGTAACACACTGTTTATCACCTCGTGATGTTCCAGCCATGGTATGTTCACAAGTAACACATTATTTATCTCCTCGTGATGTTCTAGCCATGATATGTTCACAAGTAACACATTATTTATCTCCTGTGATGTTCCAGCCATGGTATGTTCACAAGTAACACATTATTTATCTCCTCGTGATGTTCTAGCCATTGGTATGTTCACAAGTAGCAGGTCAACATTACTATCATGTTTGAATTTTTTAGAAGTTCCTTAAAATGTATATAATTCATTTATATAATATTGCACAGTTATTTCCATTATTATTACTGTTAATATCTGGTTTGCCTCAAGCAGTAAAAATTAACTGCTTCATCTATACACAATAAATTTCTTCAGTGTACGTTTTCCTAAAGGAGGAGATAAACAGTGTGTTACTTGTGAACACACCATGGCTGGAACATCACGAGGAGATAAACAGTGTGTTACTTGTGAACATACCATGGCTGGAACATCATGAGGAGATAAACAGTGTGTTACTTGTGAGCATACCATGGCTGGAACATCACGAGGAGATAAACAGTGTGTTACTTGTGAGCATACCATGGCTGGAACATCACGAGGAGATAAACAGTGTGTTACTTGTGAGCATACCACGGCTGA